TAAAAAAATACAGGTAAACTCACGGACCATATATCTCATGATAAAAAATGACCAAAAAAAAATCCTGCTTTTCTTTATATATATTTTTCATTTTGTTTAAATCGATTTTAGTTTTTGATTTTTTAAAAATCTTAAACAAAGTCGGATTCCAAAAAAAAAATATAGGAGTGTAGGGTTATTTTAGACCTACACGCCCATTTTTTTTTTTTTCCATGCATTAGAAAAAAAATAAAAATCTTGCACCGAAGTCGGCTGGTCGGCCTAGGCCGAACCCGGCCGATTCGGCCATCGGCCTGGGCCGCGGCCGACTTGGACCCCCCGGCCGCAGCCGGGCGTGCAACATAGCCTGAGGTAGTCCGAGTCGTCCGGCCGGACAACTCTGCGGGACGTCCACCCAAGACCACATGTCCGCCTGGGGAAAAAGTTATGGGTAGGCAGCATTTCGTCACTTTGGGGTACAAGGCGTGTCGGGGAGGTCGAGGCCTACCAAACCAGGGTCCACACACATTTTATTTCGGGCCAGTAGGCCCTCAAATTTCGAAGAAAAAAAAAGCCCAACCTGGGCCGTCTGATCTCGGAGATTTGCGACCCAGATTGGGCCATTTTGAAATTCAAAATTGGAGCGGGTCCGCCCATCGCATGGCATGCGAGTTCGGCGACCGCCTTCGAATTTTGCTAGTGCCGAATCCAGCAAGTAGGTGACCCCGTTGTCCTCCATCTTCCACCATCACCTCCCCCTGCCTCCTCCATCTCTTTCTCCTCCTCCTCGTCGTCATCCTCGTCCTCCTGTTCTTGTACCTCTTCCTCCTCTCTTCTTCCTCATTCTCCTCTCCTCTTCTTCTTTCTCATCCTCTCCTTCCTCCTCCTGTTCTTCTTCGTCCTGTTCTTCGTCCTTATACTCATCATCATCCACCTTTTCCCCCTCTTTTTGTCCTGGTTCTTCTCCTCCCCATTCTTCTTTGTCATCCTCCATGTGTACTTTCTCCTTGTCCTCCTCCTGTTCTTCTTCCTCTTCCTCCTCCTCCTCCTCTTCCTCTTCCTTCCTCTCATTGTTGCCCTCCTCTTTCCCCTCCCTTCTTGTCCTCCTCGTCCTCCTCCCCCACCCTTCCTGTTTGTCCTCTCCTTCGCCACGTCTTATTCCTCCTCCTCCTCCTCCTCCTCCTCCTCCTCCTGCTGCTGTTCTTCTTCCTACTCCTCGTCCTCTTCTTCTTCTACCTACAGCCGCGGTGCAAGTATTACAGTATTAGGGGCTTCTCCACGTCATCGCGTGCCGTAGCAGCGCGGCCGACTCTAAAATCGGGTGTGCACGTGGTAGTTTAAATGGCACAGTCATCATGTGAGAGTGGTTGATTCGCATTCGGTCGATCATTCATGTGAGCCTAGTAACCGGCCTTTAAAACACCCTGGACTTGAAAAAAAAAAAAAAAAAAAAAAAAAAGAAGGAAATGATCCGGGGAAAAAAAAACAAATTAATCATAAGCTAATAATAAATACAAATAGCCCTTCAGCACATCTGTTAAAACTGGAACGATGCAGAGAAGATAGATTCGCATGGGCCCTGTGCAATTAGGGATGATGCGCATAAACCGAGATAGGGTCAACTCCCACCCCCTCAATAGTAAAAAAAAAAAAAAAAAAAAAAAAAAAAAATCTTAGAAAAAGCAAATATTGGTTACAACACACGGCGGATGCATATACCATGCAGGATATCGAGCCTTGCTCCACTGCACAACACTTTACACGTATCTGGAGCTCACATTAGTCCCAACACATTCAAAATGCTAAGTTCCTCTGAATGCACCTGGTCAAGAAGGGTGTCCCCAATGCATGTAGATGCATTGTAGAATGTTGAGTAGTGGAGCGAGGCTCATCGTGTGATCGTCCAGAACTCTGCAAGCCACCAAAAAAAAAGTGCACGAAAGAGATTAAGGCACTGTCATGGCCTGTGTAGCACCGTGTTTGTGATCGGTGACAGAACCCGTTCGCAACCGAATGCGAACGAGCGTCAAAGCCATCCGAACGTGAACATTGAAATATAAAATAAAATACAAACAGCTTCTCAGAAATTTTGAGAAAAAAAATGTTCTGTGAAATAATAATACAAACAACTTTTGCCTGAGAGGCATGTTCAAATTCTTAGCCGAACACGAGTTAAAATTAAAAAACCTGAAAAAGATGGAAATAAAAAAAACAAAAAAATCCTAGGGTATTGAGAGATTGTTAGATGTGTCCTGGACTAACTCCATAAGAGTGAGGTTCAAAACGGGCTTCCCATTCGGATACTAGAACCATTTTAGCTAACAAATGGACCCGGCGCATCTACAGTGCGACCGTGGAGGGGGAGCGAAGGCGGATGCAGGAGTCAGAAATGTTGGGTGCAAAAAAAAAAAAAAAAAAAACAACGAAGAATGTACGTCTCTCTTTTTGTCTCCCTGTCTCCGTCTCTCAGAGTCTCTGTCCATCTTTCTGTATGAGAGAGAGAGAGAGAGAGAGAGAGAGAGAGAGAGAGAGAGAGAGAGAGAGAGAGAGAGAGAGAGAGAGTCTCACATTCATTCGGCAGATATAACGTGCATGGTGAGAGGGCACGAGGGAGAGAGAGGGAGACAGAGAGAGGGCACGTGCCGGAAGGCAGGGAAAAAAATAGAAAACAGATAGCGGCGAGAGAGAGAAATAGCGGAGAGTGTGTGTGTGTGTGGATGTGTGTGTGTGTGTGTGTGTGTGTGTGTGTG